TGCCCCCCCCCGCCCCCTCCACCTCCCTTTTTCCTCTTTTTTTCCTTTGTGTTTCCAGGGATTGAACCTAGGGGCATTCTACCACTGAGCTATGTCCTCAGTCCTTTTTGCTTTTTATTTGAGACAGTCTCACTGAGTTGCCCACGCTGTGATTACAGATATGCACCACTGAATTTGGCTACATTTTCTCTCAGAGGAGCATGCCTATAATCCTCGTCACTTGGGAGGCTGAGGCAGGAGGATTCCAAGTTTGAGGCTAGCCTCAGCAACTTAGTGAGGCCTTAAGCAACTTAATGAGATCCTGTCTCAAAATAAAAATAATAAGGGCTGGATATGTAGCTCAGTTGTAAAGCACTCCTGGGTTCAGTCCCCAGTGCCGAAACAAAAAAACATTTTCTCCTTTGTGAGTTTCTCTCTTTACTTTTGTTTTGGAAAGTCTTCCTCCTGTCTGAAAACAGTAAATATGCAATTTTTTACATATTATGTTCTGTCAAACTAATTATTACTGTCTTTTGAAATAAAAATTAATTATATCAATTTTTTAGATGTTTGCTATATTAGATAACTTTAAAAAAAATGTTGAAGTTGAAGAAAGGGAATCTGCACCACATCAGATCATTGCGGTTGGCATTCATTGGAGCAGACATATAGAACATCTAATCAGAGAGTTCATGAATGATCCCTACATTGTGATTACAGCCCCAGAGGAGGCTGCTCTCTATGGCAACGTCCAACAGGTGATGAATGGAATGGGAGGGGAGCTGATGAGCACAAGCAAGTAGCCTGTATTTCATGGCTTAATATTAGATGACTGTAGCTTCTATTTCATACCCAAATCTATAATTGTAAATTAAATTTGTTTTGATTTCCTATGCATTCTTTTCTATTAAAATTATAACTTAGCTATGAAAAGTAAAACTGGAACTTTTTGAATATTTTAAAAATCAAATTACTTCATTTCTGAATTTCATTACCAGGTCGTGCATCTTTGCCTAGAATGTGAAAAAACCTCAACTTTACTCCAAGTTCTTGATTTCACTCCAAGTCAGGCACAAAAGACCTTGATCTTTACTTGTTCTGTAGCTGAAACAGAAATAGTGTGTAAGGTGAGTCCCTGTCCTGTTGATTTAAACTGTGGCTGAATCTTGAATGAGGAAAAAATGACTTGGGTAGTTGATATGTGGTGGGGAGATGCCATTTTGCAAGTTTAACATCAATCAGAAGAGGAGGTGGGCTCTGCTGGGAAGCACTGACAGCTGGAGGCCTGGCCTGGGGGAGGATCCTTGCCTTTCCTGAAGCACGGTCCCACATGGGGAGTAAGTCTCAGGGAACAGTGCCAGGTGGTCTGTCAAGGTAGAACATGAAAGGACAGTTGATGAACAAAATGCCCACATCACTACTCTCTATTTTAAAAAGTTGTGAAGATAACAGTAAAACATACTGTCATGTAACCAGAAAAGCCAAATAAATTGGCTAAAGACTTATTCAGTTTTATCTAATTTCATATTAATTGTAAAATGCTAATTAATTGCCAAAATGTACAAAGCTAAATACAAAAATTAAAAGAAGCTGTAGTACATCTTTCRGTACATAATAATGAGCTAAACAGTATAGTTAAAAGGCCATTATTGGACTGGGGATATAGCTCAGTGGTAGAGTGCTTGCCACGCATGTGTGAGGCCCTAATCCCCAGTACTGGAAGGGGAAAAAAAAAAAACCGTTGTTGACAACAGTACCATGTATTTTATATATACTTATACATACATATGTGTATATGTATTATTTTTAAAAGGAAGGGAAATAGTTTTAGCAAAATAATGTTTGTTTCACTTGAGCAAATTTTTATATGAACTACAACAGAAYTTTGGAGATATATTTACTTAATTTCACATAGTCATTTCAAAGAATTACTGGGTCAGTGAAGTGATTTACAGTTGAATACTTTGATACTTAACTTGATGAGACAGCTGGCTTCAAGCTCATGTTCCTGATTTTGAACTGGCCTCTGTGGTTTTACCTTTAGGTAGTAGAAAGCAATTCAGTATTTTGCTTGAAAATGCATAAAGAAATGGTTTTTAACTTAAAAAGTGTTTTAGAACATTGGAAGAAGAAATTAAGTTCTGGCTCCCATATTGTATTAGGTAAGTGTTTTAATTTCTACTTCAGAAGACAAAGGTTAGCTCATAGCAATCATGTCTTAATTTATATATTTCACCTCCATATTTCTCATTATTTCCAAGATTTACTCAGAATTTATTAGTAATGTTAATTTTAAAATGAAAATTAACCTCCAAAAAGATTCTCATATTGAGATGAATCTAGGTGCCTCAGAGCTCATAGGTCAATAGGCAGCAACCGTTGATCTAGACACTTTACCTGGAATTCTAGCTTGAGGATTACTGTTGAATATATAAAATCTGTGTATATGTAGTCTATAAAGTCTGTATCTAGCTGTACATAATGCATCTGTACCTATATTGAAACATCATAAATTATAAAAAGGTTAAATATTAGAAATACAGAAGTTAGAATGTATAAAAAAAACGAAAAGATCTGGGCAGCCTGGATTTGTAATAGAAAAAGACATTTTTCAAGCTAAAAATGAAGCCACTTGTCTCTGGAATTAATCACTGGTGTGGGGCATTTGGGGAAGAAAGTGGGTAAGAAGTTTCTTTGCCTCTAAAAAATAAAATGAAGGATTGAGGATATAGCTTCATAGTAGAGTACTGGCATAGTAAGTATGAGATTGTGGTTTGATCCCTAACATTGCAAGAAATAAAGTAAAATATAGTACAGAAATGCTTTTCAGGATGGTTTTGGGGACTGCTTATTAAAGTAAGTGCAGCTCATGGGAAATTGTTGAAATCTTTCCTCCAGCCTTAACTGACGATTGCATACCACTCTTGGCCATCACTGATGCCACGTGTGTAATTCACTTCAGCTTCCCTTCCTCACCAAAGATATTTGGTGGACGCCTATACTGCATGTCAGATCATTTTCAGAGTTTAACTGAACAGGTTTGACTATCATTTTCTGTGTAATGACAAATTTAGAGTCCATAAAGTTTCACTGAGACTGGTGTGAATGATTTGCTTTCTTTATTTACTCCCATTTTAAGGGTTCTCCTGCAGAGCAGGGAGATAAAAAAACCAAATCTGTCCTACTGCTAACGGAGAGAAATGCGAGCCATGCAGTTGGTGTTCTGCGCTACTTGGAGAGAGCAGATGCCAAAATCCCATCAGAGCTGTATGAGTTCACCGCAGGGGTCCTAGAAGCCAAAGAAGACAAAAAAGCCAGAAGACCTCTTTGTTCATATCTTAAGGCTTTTGGATTTTGCAAGTAAGCCAGTCTTCTTTATTTTAATTAAAGTATAACATGCAGTCAAGTACAGAGATGATAAGTTTACAGCTTGAAACACAACACTGATAAAACCAATAACCCAGTAAATAAATGGGCAAATGAACTAAAGAGGCATTACTCAAAAAAAAAAAAAAAAAAAAAAAAAGCTAACAAACATGAAAAAAAATGTTAAAAATTGCTAGCAGTGAGGGAAATGCAAATCAAAACTACATTGGGATTTTATCTCACTCAAGAATATAAATAATAAATGCTGGTGAAGATGTAAGGGAAAAAGGAACACTTTTACCTGGAATTGTAAATTATATGAATTTACACTATATGAATCAGTGTGAAGGTTCTTCAGAAGATTAGGAATGGAACTACCGTATGACAGCTATACCACTCCTTGGTATTTTCCTAAAAGAATTAAATTCAGTGTACTGTGGAGATACATGCATACCCATGTTTATAGTAGCACAATTCACAATAGYCAAACTATGGAACCAGCCTAAGTGTCTTCGAATAGATGAATGGAAACAGAAACTATGGTATATCTATACAATGGAGTTTTACTCAGCCATAAAGAAGAATAAAATCCTGTTATTTGTAGGAAAATGGATGGAATGGGATATTGTCAAGTTAAACAAATAAGGCAAACTCAGAAAGTCAGCATTATATCTTCTCATTTGTTAGAGTGGAAAAAAGAAGGGGGATTTCATGAAAATAGAAGGGAAACCAGTAAGAAAGAGAGGGGACCCTGGGGAGGGAGGAGGAGAAGGCATTGGGGAGGTACTGGAGAATGAAATTATGTGCATATCCTAGTATGTCTAAGTGTAACTTATGCACCAATAATAATTTTTTTAAACTAAAAAAAAATTAGAGCAAGAAAATTAATTTCACAAAAGAGCGCTTTACCTTGGTATCAAAATTGTAGTTATACTTACTTGATGTAGCCCAGGGATCACCAGGACCTTGTTTATTAGAAAAACTTCAGAAAAGTATATAACAAAARTGGGTGAGTTCAGTTCTTAAAAAAAAAAAAACTAGTGAAGTTCAGTTCTATGTATATAAAACAATATTTTTGACTGATAAAATTTGACTTCTGTTTTTTTTAAAAAAAAGTTTACAGCTTGATGAAATGTCAACATCTACACACCCATGTAAACCACCACCCAACTGAGAGCACCTAGAGACTCCTGCATGCTCTTCCTGATGTCCCTCCTCAAATAGCTGTCAACATTGACAAGAGTTATTCATTTGTTTTCAATTTTTTGTTAACATGTATTAATTGACTATTTTAATAGGGTTCGATTTGGTATTTCCTTACATTCATATATGAGTTTTAATCAAATCCAACTCCTTTTTCCTATCCTACCTCCTTCTTCATACCCATCCCAATCTCTAGTAACTGTTATTCTGTTTTCAAATTAACATTTTTTAGCTCTTTGCTTTTGTGTCTGAATTATTTCACTTAACATGATGTCCTCACTTGATTTCATTTTGCTGCAAATGATAGGATTTTATTCCTCTTTATGGATGAATAGTATTCCATTGTGTATATACTACATTTTCTTTTCCCATTTATCTGTTGTTGGGCACCCATGCTGATTTCATATGTTAAAATTTTGCTCATTTTTGAACTTCATATAAATGGAATTGTGCATCTGGCTTCTTTCAATCTATCTAATATCTGTGACATTGATCCATGTTGTTGTTATATGTATCTTTGTTTTATATATGTTCTGGCTTAGTATTGCATTGTCTTGAGTATATCACATTCTTCTGTTGATGGGCCTGAGGGGTTGTTTCCAGTTTGGGGCTATGAATGTTGTCATACATGGCTTTTTGTGGAAATATTCATCCCACTTCTTTTGGGAATTGTTGGGCCGTAGGGTTAACTTATGTTAACTCTTCCAAAGTGGTGGACCACTTTATGGTCCTGTCAGGAGTGATGAGAATTGGAGATGGTCCACATCCTTCCCAGTCCTTAGTATTCATGGGGGAGATAATGGAAAGCCACTGCAATTTTAATTTGTGTTTCCATAATGATGGTGGATTTAATGATGTTAAATATCTTTTTTTTATGTTTGTGAGACATTTGACCATTCTCTTTTTCTGAAGTACCTGCTCTTATCTTTTTCCCATTTTAATGGAGCATTTCTTTTTTCTTATTAGTTTGAGGAGGTAAAGCTAAGATATACAGGATATATATATATATATATATATATCCTAGATATAAGTATTTTGTCTGACACGGTTGAACATCCGTGACTCTAAAACATGAAATCTGAAATACTCTGAAAACAGAAACTTTTGGGGTGTTGACATGATGCCTCTAAAACATTAATTTGCAGGCTGAGGTTGTGGCTTAGTGGTAGAACGCTCGCCTAGCATGCGTGAGGCCCTGGGTTTGATCCTCAATCCCACATAAAAATAAATAAATAAACAAAATAAAGGTATTGTGTCTAACCAAAAAAAATTTTTAAAAAACCATTAATTTGCATATATAGTATGAGGTGTGGGGCACAAGTGGCTTTTTCTGCATAGACAGTCATCTGTTCCAGCATCATTTGTCTAGAACATAATTTTCTTCTCACTGAATTAGTCCCTTTGATATAATCCAGGTGATGAGATATATGGTCTGTTTTTAGACTCTGTTCTTTTTGTGGGTCCATTTGTCCCTCYTTATACTAACACTACACTTTATTTTTTAATATCATTTTTATTGTTGTTGTTTATTTTTTATGTGGTGATGGGGATTGAGCTCAGGGCCTCATGAATGCTARGCAGGCACTTTACCACTGAGCTATTTCCTCAGCCCAACACTACACTTTAAACACTGTAGCTTCATAGTGACACTTGGGATCTGGCATATAAGTCCTCCAACCTTGCTCCTGTTCAGGGTTGCTTGGCTTCTTCAAATCTATTGCATCTCTATATACATTAAAGATATAAGCTTACTGATTATCTTCTGGAATTTTAATAGGGGCTGAATCAACTCTATAGATCAATTGGTAAGGTATGGGGATCCCTCTAGACACATGCCACTACTTGGTAAATGGATGGCTAGGCATAGGTGTCTGATAATGTGTCTCCTGGATTGAATTCATTTTTAAGATAATTAATGACATTAACTTTTAAAATTATGGTACATTGACCAGCTTATTAACAACAATTTTCAGTATGCCTTTAAATAGAATATTGACTTTTAAAACTGAAACTTCAGCTATTTCTCAGTTGGGAGGTAACATTGTAATGAAGGAGCAGCTTCTGATTTGGAGGTTAATTGACCTTTATTGTGGATTATGGTGATATGTTTCTGAGACTTTGTTTTAGAAGTATAAGCAATCCTTTAGCAGGAAGAGTGAAGCAAGTGGCATCACTATACCAGACCTTAAACTATACTACAGAGCAATAGTAACAAAAACAGCATGGTATTGGCACCAAAACAGACTGGTACACCAATGGTACAGAATAGAGGACACAGACACTAACCCACAAAATTACAATTATCTTATATTA